AGGTTGGCCGACGGGTGCGACAACCCGTTCGGCGATGGCGACGACGTCACCTGGTGATGATGATGATGGTGATGATGATGCTGAGGCGTCGTTATGTACTTCATCTCCCCGGCGTCGGCGGCGCTGCGAGGCGAGCCCGAGGAGTAGCCACCCACGGCGATGTTCATCCCGATCGCGGTACCCGAACCACCATCCAGCTCGGACGACACTGCGCTACTAATCGGCATGTACGTGGTAGCGGCCATCTACTTCCCCTCGTACAGAGGTTCGCCCGAACCCTGTTGTCTTTTTCTTTTTCTCGCTCGTTCTCTTTCTCTCTCTCTCTCTCTCTCTTTTTCTTTCTTTTTTCTATTTCGTTCTTTCCACCTTCACCGATGCGTTATCTCTCTCGTTCTTCTCTATTCCCTAACAGGGTTTCCCGAGACAACTCGGCGTTCGTGGGCCCTTAGGGCTGCCCCGTCAGGGCACCCTGCTCCTCCTCTACGTTCGGTTCCTTCTTTCGTCTCCGTATCTTCGTGCTCTCCTTTCTCGTACGTTTCTCTTCCGATCCGACGAGCGGAAACTGGAAAACAGTTCGTATCGTTTTGCGGCGAACGAACACCGATTACACGTTATACACCACAACAGTCCATCTTTCGCGAGAACGCACCAAATTCCGATCAAGAGACATCGTCGCTCTCGCAAACGACACGTCCATAGTTCGTATCTCGCGATGCCGTCTTCCTTGTCCGTTCCTTTCGGTGCAAACACTCGAAACGATTTTGTTCGCGACAGCTTCCGATTCCTCCTCCGAGGAGGATCTCGTTCGTCGAACTGACACACGAGAACGGCACACCTCGGCTGCTCGACGGCTGCTGGTACTCCAAGGGAGCGAATCACTCGCGCGTCGAAGAATCACTCATCGTTGTGGCGCGATCGCGATCGCGAGCTAGAAGGGTAACTGTCGCGAGTCGCGGTGACACTCACGGTCCGTTGGGTCGGGAGAGTCTCCCGACTGGACACCGAGGGATTCGGACACCCGACGATGACCACGACGACGACGACGACGACGACCACGACGACGACGACGACGACGGT